GGAGGTGGAGCTGGGGAGGTGGAGCTGGGGAGGTGGAGCTGGGGAGGTGGAGCTGGGGAGGTGGAGCTGGGGAGGTGGGACAGAACCCAGAAGTTGATGGCATCGGTGAGCCAGGTCCGCATCCCCGTGCAAGGGCTCATCCCGAACCCCGTCTCACCCTCTAGGGCAGCAAGGAGCGCTTCCACTGGCAGAGCCACAACGTGAAGCAGAGCGGCGTGGACGACATGGTGCTCCTTCCCCAGATCACCGAAGACGCCATTGCCGCCAACCTGCGGAAGCGCTTCATGGACGACTACATCTTCGTACCCTGGGCCAAGGATGGAGGCGGCCAGGCAGGGAAGGAATGAATGGCTGGGCCATGGACGGAGAGGAGGGTGATGGAGCAGAGGGAGGGATGGGCCGGGAGAGCACCAGGCGGTGAGACGGAGGACAGACAGAGTGACAGCAGGGCTCTGGTTGGGGACAGCTGTGGCTGCCACTGCTCCCTCTGTCCTGGAGAAGCTCAGCCCCAGTGTGTTCCGTTTCCCCCATTCCACATCCAACCCTGTTTTTTTTTCTTTTCTTTTTTTTTTTTTTTTTTTGAGATGGAGTCTTGCTCTGTCGCCCAGGCTGGAGTGCAGTGGCACAATCTCGGCTCACTGCAACCTCTGCCTCCCTGATTCAAACAATTCTCCTGCCTCAGCCTCCCAAGTAGCTGGGATTACAGGCATGAGCCACCATGCCTGGCTAATTTTTTTGTTTTTGTGTTTTGTGTTTTGTTTTTGAGACTGAGTGGCTCTTGTTGCCCAGGCTAGCATGCAATGGCACGATCTCAGCTCACTGCAACCTCTGCCTCCCAGGTTCAAGTGATTCTCCTCTCTTAGCCTCCCAAGTAGCTGGGATCACAGGCACACATCACCATGCTCGGCTAATTTTTTGTATTTTTAGTGGAGACAAGGTTTCACTATGTTGGCCAAGTTCATCTTGAACTCCTGACCTCAAGTGATCTGCCTGCCTCGGCCTCCCTAAGTGCTGGGATTACAGGCATGAGCCACCGCACCTGGCCAGCCCTGTTTTTTCCAAGAGACTCGAGGTGCATCCAATATCTCCATCTCTTCCACCTCCAAGCAATGCAGTTCTGGGAAGCCCTGGGTGGGGACAGGATGAGGGGACAGGGAGGACAAAACCTACCAGTACACTGCACGACCCTTAACCATCCCTCAGACCTACATCGGCTCTGTGCTCATCTCCGTAAACCCCTTCAAGCAGATGCCCTACTTCACCGACCGTGAGATCGACCTCTACCAGGGCGCGGTGAGGCTGGGGCTGGGTGGGAGGCAGAGGCTGTTGCTGGGTGGGAGGCACAGCCCCGAGACCTCTAGCCCCCAGCCCTGGGCTGAGACCTGACCTCCCCCACCAGGCCCAGTATGAGAATCCCCCGCACATCTACGCCCTCACGGACAACATGTACCGGAACATGCTTATCGACTGTGAGAACCAATGTGTCATCATTAGGTATGGACGGGGTTGGGGCGCCACAGACCCTGCTGCCCAGGCCCCCACTGAAACATCATCACTGCCCCCAGGGAGGTTTGCCTGAAACTCGCAATCTGAACACAGCCCTGCTGTCCCTCTCTGCCCTCACCCTGTTTTATTTTCCTTGTCACCATCTGACTCACAATGTATTTTATTGATTCATTCTGCTATTGTCTGTCTGTCCCCTCTAAATGTCACCTCAGGCCAGGTGTAGTGGCTTATGCTTGTAATCCCGGCACTTTGGGAAGCCAAGGCAAGAGGATCTCTTGAGGCCAGGAGTTCAAGACCAGCCTGGGCAACATGGCAACACCCTGTCTCTATAAAAATAAAATAATTAGCCACGCACTGTGGTGCATGCCTGTAGTCCACAGCTACTCAGGAGGCTGAGGAGGGAGGATTGCTTGAGCCCAGGAGTTCCAGGCAGGAACAGGGGGCTATGATCACACCACTGCACTCCAGCCTGGGCAACAGAATGAGACCCCATCTCAGTCAATCCATCTATACCAGCTCTATGAGAGCAGAGAGAGAGAGAGAGAGAGAGAGAGAGAGTGTGTGTGTGTGTGTGTGTGTGTGTGTGTGTGTGTGTGTCAGAGTCTCAGTCTGTCACCTAGGCCGGAGTGCAGTGGTGCAACCTCAGCTCACTGCAACGTCCGCCTCCCAGGTTCAAGCAATTCTCCTGCCTCAACCTCCTGAGTGGCTGGCTGGGATTACAGGCGCCTACCACCATGTCCGGCTAATTTTTGTATTTTAACAGAGTCTGGGTTTCACCACGTTGGCCAGGCTGGTCTCAAACTTTTGACCTCAAGTGATTCTCCCTCCTCAGGCCCCCAAAGTGCTGGGATTATAGGATTATACCATGCCCGGCTGAAAGCAGAGATTTTATCTGTCTTGTTCATTATGGCATCCCCAGTACCCGGAATACTGGCAGGGACACAGTAGGTACTTAATGAATAAATAGTCAGGCACTAAAAAGGGCTCTTCCCCCCAACCCCATCCACTGATCATTTATTCCTCCATTCATCCCCAGTGGAGAGAGTGGAGCTGGGAAGACAGTGGCAGCTAAATACATCATGGGCTACATCTCCAAGGTGTCTGGCGGAGGCAACAAGGTCCAGGTGAGACGAGAAAAACAGAAGGATGAGCTGGGTCGCCCTCACCTGCATGGTAGTGCAGTCCCACTCATCTGCACTCCTGCCCCAGTCTGACTTCTTCCCACCCGACCTGCCTCTGCCCCCAGCATGTCAAAGATATCATCCTGCAGTCCAACCCGCTGCTCGAGGCTTTCGGCAACGCCAAGACTGTGCGCAACAATAATTCCAGCCGCTTTGTGAGTCTCTGCAGCTCTGCTTGGAGAAGCTGCTCCATCCGTGCTGACCTTTCTACACACACAACCACACATACACACATCTGCATTGCCAGGACAAGAGCCCATTGGAAACCCAGCAGGAAATACCTGCTCCTGAATGGGAGACTCACTTCCTGCTCATGGTCCATTTCAAAAGGGAGTCCCCCATTGGCAGAACTGTGGAGGCCATGACACCCCTGTGTAACATTCTTAAATGCTCCCTGGCTGCAGCCATGCTACATTGTTCCCATTCACATTTCAGGTCCAATTTAGTCCCTCATTTATTCCTTCTTTCGACAATAGTTCTGGGACTCGTTCTTTGTGTGGGTGCTGTGCTGGGCCCAGTGGAAGACAGGATAGGTAAACAGATCTGAATTCAGGGTCTGATTCTGTCATTGTGAGCTGTGTAGCCTGGGGGAAAAAAATCGATGTAACTTCCTGAGTTTCCTTTGTTTGCTCATCCATAAAATGGGGATGATGTTAATATCCATCTCATAGACTTTAGTATTACACCTGCACATGCACATGGTTTACTAAATTCCATACCCTTGGACTGGGTACGGGGGGGCTCACGCCTGAAATCCCCGCACTTTGGGAGGCTGGGACAGGTGGATCACTTGAGGTCTGGAGTTCAAGACCAGCCTGGCCAACATGATGAAACCCCGTCTCTACCAAAACTACAAAAATTAGCTGGGTGTGGTGGTGGGCACCTGTAGTCCCAGCTACTCAGGAGGCTGAGGCAGGAGAATCACTTGAACCCAGGAAGTGGATGTTGCAGTGACCCGAGATAGCGCCACTGCACCCCAGCCTGGGCAACAGAGTGAGACTCTGTCCCAAAAAAAAAAAAAGGAAGAAGGGAAGAGATGCAAGGCTCATAAGACCCATCCCTAATCCTTCCCCAACCTGCACCCCAGGATGCTGGGGTGCTGACATGGTTCTCTCGAATTCAGGGCAAGTACTTTGAGATCCAGTTCAGCCGAGGTGGGGAGCCGGATGGGGGCAAGATCTCCAACTTCTTGCTGGAGAAGTCCCGCGTGGTCATGCAGAATGAAAATGAGAGGAACTTCCACATCTACTACCAGGTGCAGGGAAGAGGCTGGGGGAGAGTGAGCCCCACCTGGAGCCCAGCAGGGTGGACAATGGGAAAGTACATGCTTGGGAGGGCATGGCAGGGCAGATGAGGGGATCACAGGGGCTGAGCCAGGCAAGCACCAGATGCATGAACATTGCACACCCTCCAGCTGCTGGAAGGGGCCTCCCAGGAGCAAAGGCAGAACCTGGGCCTCATGACACCAGACTACTATTACTACCTCAACCAATCGGACACCTACCAGGTGGACGGCACCGACGACAGAAGCGACTTTGGTGAGACTCTGGTGAGCACCGGCCTCCACTCCAGTCCCCAGCCAGGCAGACCTCAGCCCCAGAAACTCCCCTGAGTTACAAATTAGGAAAACAAAGCCCAGCCCAGGCACAGTGGCTCACGTCTGTAATCCCAGCACTTTGGGAGGCCAAGGCAGGCAGATGACTTAAAGTCAGGAGTTTGAGACCGGCCTGGCCAACGTGGTTAAACCCCGTCTCTACTTAAAATACAAAAATTAGCCGGGCATGAGGGTGCGTGTCTGTAATCCCAGCTACTGGGGAGGCAGAGGCAGGAGAATTGCTTGAAACCAGGAGGCAGAAGTTGCAGTGAGCCGACATCACAACACTGCACTCCAGCCTGAGCAACAGAGTGAGACTCCATCTCAAAAACCAAAAAAAGACCAGGCGCGGTGGCTCATGCCTGTAATCCCAGCACTTTGGGAGGCCAAGGCAGGTGGATTACCTGAGGTCAGGAGTTCGAGACCAGCCTGGCCAACATAGTGAAACCCCGTCTCTACTAAGAATACAAAAATTAGCCAGGCGTGATGGCATGTGCCTGTAGTCCCAGCTACTCAGGCGGCTGAGGCAGGAGAATCGCTTAAACCCAGGAGGTGGAGGTTGCAGTGAGCCAAGATAGCGCCACTGCACTCCCACCTGTGTGAAAGAGTGAGACTCTTTAAAAAATAAAATAGGAAACCAAAGCCTAGGCCAGACATGGTGCTCACACCTGTAATCCCAGGTATTCGGGAGGCTGAGGCAGGAAAATTGCTTGAATCCGGGATGAGGAGGTTGTAGTGAGCCAAGATCATGCCACTGCACTCCAGCCTGGGCAACAGAGGGAGACTCTGTCTCAAAAATAAAAAATACAATAAAAAACAAAGACCAGAGAGGTGCAGGCACTTGCCCAAGGTCACGCAGCAAGTGACTGAAAGGGGCAGGACGGGGACCCAAGGGTGCTCACTCCCTGAGTCCGTGCTGTGGCCCCTCAAGCCTGCACCTGGAGGCAGGTTGGAGGCCGGGATTCGCGGCACAGTTTCTGCTCCCGTTGCACCCACAGAGCGCCATGCAGGTCATTGGGATCCCGCCCAGCATCCAGCAGCTGGTCCTGCAGCTGGTGGCGGGGATCTTGCACCTAGGGAACATCAGTTTCTGTGAAGACGGGAATTACGCCCGAGTGGAGAGTGTGGACCGTGAGTGTGGGTGTCAGGGAGGGCGGGATGGAGGCCTGTGGGTGTGTGAACTGCGTCCTCCCAGCTCCGCCCCCAGGAAGCTGAGAGCCCACGGGGACAACGTCGGTGTCACTGGCAAGGATGGGGATAATAGGAGGCCCATGCAGGAGGCACAAGAGCCCAACCAACTATCCCGTTTTTGCCCTGACCTTTGCCCCGGTAGTCCTGGCCTTTCCCGCCTACCTGCTGGGCATTGACAGTGGGCGACTGCAGGAGAAGCTGACCAGCCGCAAGATGGACAGCCGCTGGGGCGGGCGCAGCGAGTCCATCGATGTGACCCTCAACGTGGAGCAGGCAGCCTACACCCGCGACGCCCTGGCCAAGGGGCTCTATGCCCGCCTCTTCGACTTCCTTGTGGAGGCGAGTGGGGCTGGGGCTGGAGGGCAGAGTGGGCGCTCTGGGGTCACAAACATTTATGGAGGCCGAGTGCAGTGGCTCACGCCTGCGATCCCAATGCTTTGGGTGGCCGAGGTGGGAGCATCGTTTGAGGCCGGAAGTTCGAGACTAGCCTGGGTGGCTGGGCGCGGTGCCTCACGCCTGTAATCCCAGCACTTTGGGAGGCTGAGGTGGGCAGATCTCCTGAGGTCGGGAGTTCGAGACCAGCCTGACCAACATGGTGAAACCCCGTCTCTACTAAAAATTACCCAGGAGTCGTGGCACATGCCTTACATGCCTTTAATTCCAGCTACTTGGGAGGCTGAGGCAGGAGAATCACTTGAACCCGGGAGGTGGAAGTTGCAGTGAGCTGAGATCATGCCATTGCACTCCAGCCTGGGCAACGGAGCGAGACTCTGTCTCAAAGGGCAACAGGGCGAAACCTTTTCTCTACAAAAATACAAAAATTAGCCGGGCACGGTGGCTGGTGCCTGTAATGCCAGCTATTCAGGAGGCTGAGGTGGAAGAATCCCTGACCCCAGGAAGTTGAGGCTGTAGTGAGCCATGATCAAGCCACTGCACTCCAGTCTGGGCAACAGACTGAGACATTATCTGAAAATAAAAAATAAAAATAAATAAAGTATAAAATGTATGGCCAGGCACAGTGGTTCATGCCTGTAATCCCAGCACTTTGGGAGGTCAAGGTGGGTAGATCACCCGAGGTCAAGAGTTTGAGATCAGCCCTGGCCAACATGGCAAAACCCCGTCTCTACTAAAAATATGAGAATTAGCCAGGTGTGGTGACGCATGCCTGTAATCCCAGCTACTTGGGAGGCTGAGGCAGAAGAATCTCTTGAATCCTGGAGGCAGAGGTTGCAGTGAGGCGAGATTGCGCCACTGGCTTTCCAGCCTGGGCAACAGAGTGAGACTCCACCTCAAAAAAAAAAAGAAAAGAAAAAGCCCCATAAAGTAGTTGCTATTATCAACCCGTTTTAAAGATAAGAAAATAGAGGTGCAGAGAGGTTCAGGGGCAGAGTCAGCTCCGGAGCCACAGACCCTGATGCACTGACACTTGGGTTTCTCCTCTGAGTGACTGACTGGGGAGTGGGGAGACCATACACAGAGCCAGGAAGGGCAGAGCTAAAGAGGGCTGGAGGGAAACTGGCATGAGGGGACATCACCCATGAAGTTGGCTAGGCGTGTGTCTAAGGAGTGGTGGGCGGGGGCTTCAGATCTGACGGATGTCCACTGACCTCCTGTCTCCACTCACACCGCAGGCCATCAACCGTGCTATGCAAAAACCCCAGGAAGAGTACAGCATCGGTGTGCTGGACATTTATGGCTTCGAGATCTTCCAGGTACGGCCCCCTGCCTCCAGCCCACATCCTGTCCTCCCTGGGGCAGCCCGGGGTGGCCACAAGAACTTCTAGCACCAGGACATTGAGGGAAGGACCCTTTTCCTCCTTCTGCAGAAAAATGGCTTCGAGCAGTTTTGCATCAACTTCGTCAACGAGAAGCTGCAGCAAATCTTTATCGAACTCACCCTGAAGGCCGAGCAGGTGGGCAGCCAAGCGGCCAGGGATGGAGGATCGTGGGGGGGGGGTGGGGTGGAAGGACCATGAGGATCCCTTAGCAACTAGGGGACACCTCAGCCCTCCCCACCATGTTCCCACCTCTCTGTGCCAACCTGCCCAGGCTCCATAGTGATACTTCCTTCTGCATCTAAAGCTTTGGGAAGGACCGTGCCTCTTAGTTCATTCATTCAGCAATTATTTATTGAGCACCTGTTGTGTGCCAGGCACTGTTTAGGGTGCTTGGAGACACAGCCATGAACAATAAGGCAATAGTCCCTGCTGTCTGCATTTAGCCCCTCCCCCAGAAGCAGAGCCTGAGGCAAGGATTCAGGGACAAATGGTTTTTCTGGGAAGCAATCCCAGGAAGCTCCAAGAGGAGACAGAGGAAGAGAGTCAGGGATTTTTTTTTTTTTTTTTTTTTTTTGAGACAGAGTCTCGTTCTGTCGCCCAGGCTGGAGTGCAGTGGCATGATCTCAGCTCACTGCAACCTCTGCCTCCAGGGTGCAAGTGATTCTCCTGCCTCAGCCTCCCAAGCTGGGACTACAGGCACCCGCCACCATGCCCAGCTAATTTTTGTATTTTTAGTAGAGACAGGGTTTCACCATATTGGCCAGGCTGGTCTCAAACTCCTGACCTCATGATCCACCCACCTCAGCCTCCCAAAGTGCTGGGATTACAGGTTATCAGCCACCA